GGTATGGCGGCTCAATGGTTCGGTGGTATGGGAGTATACAGGTACCCTTTGATACAGTGTCGCATAGGTGTGTGACAGTGTCACTTGGTTGTGTGTCAGTGTCACTTGGTTGTGTGTCAGTGTCACTTGGTTGTGTGTCAGTCTCACTTGGTTGTGTGGCAGTTTCACTTGGTTGTGTGACAGTGTCACTTGTTTGTTTGGCAGTGTAACTTTGTTGTGTGGCAGTGCCACTTGGTTGTGTGACAGTGTCACTTGTTTGTGTGGCAGTGTCACTTTGTTGTGTGGAAGTGCCACTTGGTTGTGTGACAGTGTCACTTGCTTGTGTGACGGTACCACTTGGTTGTGTGACAACTAGCAGTGGACATACTGATTGTGTGACATACGGCAGTGTCTTAACTGTTTGCCTTAAATGCAACAGAATAAATGTCAGCTAGATCAAAGCGATGCAGTGACATTGTTGAAAGCCTAGCGAGACATCTCTCCACGGTCTACACAATTATAAAACGTCGTCCTCGGGTTAAACACGTCGCACACTTCCCTCGTTGCATAAGCTCGGTGGACTGGATGTCGTGTTCATCTAGCGTTTGAGCTGTCTCATGTGCTTACGGCATCGTCATGGAAGGGGGGGGGGTCAATACTTTTGGCATCCGTATCTTTATTAGCTATTATAATTAGATCTAGTCAAAAATTCGTTTTTGACTCAATGTAAACATCAGCGATCGTGTTTATTCCATAAATTAACAAAAAAAAAAAAACTAGCAAAATGGCATTTAAACTGTAAACAATCGTTTTATTATTTTCATCTGCGCAGTAAAACGAAGCATGAAGGAAACGAATTAAAAATAATGCGTGGTAATGAACCGGAAGCTGCGTGTGATTATAGTACAGAAGAAAAAATGAACTGTGTACTCACTCAGTGACTGTCTGTACTGTCGTCTGTTTGGTACCAATCTATTAATATTATTATTAGTATTATGGATATTTCTAGATCTAATCTAGATTCTAAATTAGATCTAGAATCTAGATCTATATGTGTAGCATTCCAGTTTTTGAAAATCCCTAAATTGTAGGCCTTACTTAATTCTACGGAATTTCAGTAAAACATTAGAATGTCATTAGTTAGATCTAGTTTAGACTTTCTAGGTCTAGAATCTAGTAGATTCTATGTGGTGGAGATGATCTAGATGTACAATCTAGATCTAACTCCGGCTCTTGCTAGATAAATAGTAGATCTAGTTCTAGATTATTCTACATCTAGATCTAGATTTAGTAGATTATTTTACTATTATACACCTAGAGTTTAGACTTAAGTCAACTTAAGTGGGTAGGCGCCGGTAAAAATAATATTTTAATACTAGATCTAGATTCTAGACAGCAAACTGCTTTTTCTCTACAGCTTTTTTAAGGTAGATCTACATCTGAATATGCATTTACCTTAAAATTGGTAAAATTGGTTTGGTAACTATGACAACGGCTGCCATATTGAAAAATTAACCTCTTCGTAGGATTTCCAGCATTTATAAATTTTATATTTCAATTCCAATAAACAATGAATTTATAATCTTCGACCATATTTTGGGGTACTTAGCTAAAAATTTAAGTGCAGATCTCAAAACTAATTTCTTATGAATTATCAAAAAGTGTGTCTTTCAAAAACACTAGATTTAATCCCCAAAACTTCCCAAAATTTGAACAATTTTATGTCTAGATCTAGCTACTGTAGCTAGAATCTAGTATTAGGTTTAAGTTTAAGTCTCTCTCACACTGTTACTTTGTTGTGTGGTCTTCTTATCAGTATCAGCGTAGACTATTTAAAAAATTAGATATGTTCTATATTGAAGATAAAAGTTATTGTGACCTACTTGGACATTTTTTAATACAGTACTTAAGAGTGGGTGAAGTGGGCACCAACCTTCCCGCTTTTGTTTAGCAATACAGGTACATGTATGTTGTATAAGGTTTATATATTTATTAGATAGGTGCATCTATAACTTAGGATGTTGGTAGATCTACATCTAATGCTGATATATAAGTAAACGAATGCTAAATTTTAATAGACCTTAGGTACATCTTGACAAATATAATGTTGATAGACTGGTACAAGTATTGTTGATTGGCTGGTACATGTTGGCCCATAATTGGTACACGTTGGCCTATAATGTTGATAGGCTGGTACAATCTGCCTGTAATGTTGATAGACTGTTACAAATTACATGCATGATGTTGATAGAATGCAAGATTTGTATTAGTTCTTTGACAGACTGGTCATTAACTGTTATCCAGGATTTAGTATATATGTTGCCAACATGGATTTTGGATGCTTAGATTTATTGTCAGTATGTCTCTTAGATGCCCGTACATATGTGGCCAGAAATCATATTATACGTATGTGGCCAGAAAAAATAGCACACAAGAATACACCCATAGATCCAGAGAGACCAATCATGACTTATTGGCCAGCCGTCAGACAGGGGGGTAATTAATGTCAGCATTGACCAAAGATCAAAGGTTATACAAGGAAATTGGAAAGAACTGGGAATATCATTAATTTCTATTGTCAAGTTCTCTTTAGAGCAGCCAAAAAACTAAATTCATTTTAATCTAATCTAATTGTGCTTGATCAGTTCAGACTTATTTTCCTGTTACTTTCTTCTAAATGTCTTGTTGACAGTCTAAAAATAGCTTGCTCCACTTAGGATTGCTGAATGCATCATGTAGTATGATCAATATACAATCCTATAACCTAGTAACCTTTAACCCCTGTGATTTCTGGATTATTTGATAGCTGAATTCCCTTGCTGTCTTTGAGCTCCGCCCATCTGTACAAGAAAAGTTGTTCTTCAACCCTAATTGACAAGTTTTATTCAGTTGACAGAGTAACATGTTTGCACTTAACAGTATCTTCTCTATCCACCCCCCCCCCCCCCTGTCCATCCACTCATCCATTAACCCTCTGTCCATCCACCTGACATATTCATCCATCTGTCCATCTACCCTCCATCTGTTCATCCATTCAACGTCTGTCTATCCACCTGACCTATTCATCCATTTATCATCCATCTGTTCATCCACCTGACATATTCATCCATTTATCATCCATCTGTCCATCAACCCATTCATCTACCCACCCTCTGTTCATTCATCCATCTGTCCTTCCACTCTCCATCTGTCCATCCACTTGATATACTCATCTATTTATCATTCTTCTGTCCATCCACCTGACATATTAATCTATTTATCATCCATCTGTCCATCCACTCTCCATCTGTCCATCCACCTGACATATTCATCTATTTATCATCCATCTGTCCATCCACTCTCCATCTGTCCATCCACTCTCCATCTGTCCATCCACTTGATATATTCATCTATTTATCATCCATCTGTCCATCCACTCTCCATCTGTCCATCCACCTGACATATTCATCTAGTTATCATCCATCTGTCCATCCACTCTCCATCTGTCCATCCACTCTCCATCTGTCCATCCACTTGATATATTCATCTATTTATCATCCATCTGTCCATCCACTCTCCATCTGTCCATCCACTTGATATATTCATCTATTTATTCTTCTGTCCATCCACTCTCCATCTGTCCATCCACTTGATATATTCATCTATTTATCATTCTTCTGTCCATCCACTCTCCATCTGTCCATCCACTTGATATATTCATCTATTTATCATTCTTCTGTCCATCCACTCTCCATCTGTCCATCCACTCTCCATCTGTCCATCCACTTGATATACTCATCTATTTATCATTCTTCTGTCCATCCACTCTCCATCTGTCCATCCACTTGATATATTCATCTATTTATCATTCTTCTGTCCATCCACTCTCCATCTGTCCATCCACTTGATATATTCATCTATTTATCATTCTTCTGTCCATCCACTCTCCATCTGTCCACCCACTCTCCATCTGTCCATCCACTCTCCATCTGTCCATCCACTTGATATACTCATCTATTTATCATTCTTCTGTCCATCCACTCTCCATCTGTCCATCCACTCTCCATCTGTCCATCCACTCTCCATCTGTCCATCCACTCTCCTTCTGTCCATCCACTCTCCATCTGTCCATCCACTCTCCATCTGTCCATCCACTCTCCATCTGTCCATCCACTCTCCATCTGTCCATCCACTCTCCATCTGTCCATCCACTCTCCATCTGTCCATCCACTTGACATATTCTGTCCATCTACTGTCCCCTATTTTCTCTCCTGCCACCCTGCCCAGCATAAAAAAGTAATGTAGGCACTTACTTGAAGCCTAACAGTGGTCAACACAGGAGATGTTCTATGTATTGATTCTTTCAACTCTCCCCCCTCCCTCTACGCCCCTCCACTCAATCCAAGGGATGAATCATTCTCTAGTGATCTGTTCTATTTATAGGTTTCCATCTTTCTAGGCCCTCAACTACAACACTGGGGATGGGGGAGGGGAGGCTGTGGCACTTAGCCAGAATTGTGTGGACAATAACATTTAGAACAAGGTTATATCAGTGGATGGTTTTTTTACTTAGTTGAGAAATGGTCAGAATTCTTTAGTGAACTGGATCTCAGAAGTCAGTGTATATTTGTGTGTGTCACTGGATTTGTTATTTGAACATAACTTATACCACTGGTTCTTTGGGTAGCAAGATCTGTAACTTTTGCCATCTGGTACTCAGGGGAGGTCATCCAATTATATATTGATTATGTTATTAATTACACCCTTTTCATGAACTATTAATCAATGATTGTCTCTTTTCATTTAGCACTTAATAATCTCTAAAGTTTTTTGTTCATTTCTCAAGACTGAAATGTTTTCTCCATCTTGGCTGAATAAAGTAGAATCCTACTTTTGATGTATAGTGATGATAAGATATTAAAATTCTTCAGCCAACATTCATTACTTTTTTAGTTGGTTGATGTTGATTACTTACATGTTTCAGATTCTGAAGACGATGAATTTGTTGATGTTAACTAATGAGTTGTGTTTGATTGTTTCAGATTCTGAAGACGATGAATTTGTTGATGCACCTGAACATCAGCTGGAAGACAGGGAGTTAACAGTTGCCCTCCCCCACACACCCTCTGAGATGATGCATAGGTAGGGGACACAACTTTCAAATGTTTGTGTTAGACCCAGCTCTCTCTGATGTTTGTTTACACTAATGTTGTTGTTGTGGCAGTTGATGTTTGTGTGATTGGGACCAGTAAACAAAAGCAGTTGTTAGATGGCCCTCTGTTGTTGTTTGTTGGTGGTGTTGGCCCATCATGTGGGACTGTCCACTTGCTGCCAGCCAGGGTCCATGGGAAGCTCTAAAGTATCAGATCTTTTAAAAACTGGACTTGAAAGTTTTTTGAGCTGACTGAAGAGTAAAGTTGTAGTAGACTGGGTCAAATACTGTTGGGCCCTCTAGTCCAGCTGAAAATGTAACAGGTTATGTTTGTTAGTTGTTTACATTTTAATTTTTCCTTTGACAGGAGGACAGACAGCATGGAGAGCTACCCTGACTTGTCCAGTGAATCAGAATCTGAGAGCAGCGTCAATGAGGCCACAGTCTACACCACCAAGACATCCCCTAATAAAAAGGTAAGTTTTCTCTTGGCCTGTATCAGATGGTAGTTACATCCCTTGGTTGGTTGTGTTGGTCTGTATCAGATGGTAGTTACATCCCTTGGTTGGTTGTGTTGGTCTGTATCAGATGGTAGTTACATCCCTTGGTTGGTTGTGTTGGTCTGTATCAGATGGTAGTTACATCCCTTGGTTGGTTGTGTTGGTCTGTATCAGATGGTAGTTACATCCCTTGGTTGGTTGTGTTGGCCTGTATCAGATGGTAGTTACATCCCTTGGTTGGTTGTGCTGGCCTGTATCAGATGGTAGTTATATCCCTTGGTTGGTTGTGTTGGTCTGTATCAGATGGTAGTTACATCCCTTGGTTGGTTGTGTTGGTCTGTATCAGATGGTAGTTACATCCCTTGGTTGGTTGTGGTGCCCTGTGTTCCACCTGATGTTTGTACTTCTCTGAGCTATGTCCCCACTTTTTGGTGCCCTGTGTTACAGCTGTTGGCACTTCTCTGAGCAATATCCCCACTTATTTGTACCCTGTGTTCCACCCAATGTTGGCACATCTCTGAGCAATATCCCCACTTATTGGTGCCCTGTGTTCCACCCAATGTTGGCACTTCTCTGAGCAATATCCCCACTTATTGGTGCCCTGTGTTCCACCCAATGTTGGCACATCTCTGAGCAATATCCCCACTTATTGGTGCCCTGTGTTCCAGCCAATGTTGGCACATCTCTGAGCAATGTCCCCACTTATTGGTGCCCTGTGTTCCAGCCAATGTTGGCACATCTCTGAGCAATGTCCCCACTTATTGGTGCCCTGTGTTCCACCCAATGTTGGCACTTCTCTGAGCAATATCCCCACTTATTGGTGCCCTGTGTTCCAGCACTCCCAGAGAGAGCACCAAAGGACTGGCAGCCAGGACAAGATCAGGATGCCCAAGTCAACGTCCTCAGACTCCCATGGCTCCGACACATCCCTGTCCCGCAGGAAAAGGCGCAGACGTATCCCTGACAAGCCCAACATCAGCCTCAACCTCTGGAGCTTCATGAAAAATGCTATTGGGAAGGAACTCTCCAAAATTCCCATGCCTGTGAGTGTTCAACTTTTTTTTTCTCTTTACCTTGTTGATTTAAACATTTTGTTACCTGGTGAGTGTTCAGTAGATCTTCTCATCTAGTGGTCAAGCTGGACAGTCAAAAGATGTGCTAGACAATCTTCTAGCCTTAACAATTGCTCACCTTTGAATTTTGCACTGTTAAAGCTAATTCTGTGTCTTCTCCACACTTGGAAATAAAAAAGCTGTGAAGTGTATTGATTCTTTCAGACTGCCCCAAGCTATATGAAGAGGAATTTACTACAAAAAATGTTCTGTTGTATATAATTATGTGGCGGGAAATACAATTACCTGATTTTTTTAAAAATGTTTTAGAATAGCCAGTGTGGCATTTGTCTTCAAAGACGTTAAGTGTACATTATATCAGAGGGATTTCTTCAGACACAGTCAAGTGTATATTAAATCAGAGGGGTGTCATTGGTTACTTGGTATTAACTCATGTAAACCTTGCCAGTGGTCCCCCTTGTCTGGTCTTCTTTCTTACCTACTCAATGTGGGCCATCATAATTTAAAAACATTTTTAAAATTGAGTTAAGGTATGATCCTGGACAAAAATTCTTCCTGCAGTTTCCTACGACAAGCTTGATTGATTAAAAAAACATAACATTTCAGGTGAACTTCAATGAACCTCTGTCTATGTTACAAAGAATCATGGAGGAGATGGAATATTCCCATATCTTAGATGAAGCGGCCAAGTGTCCAGATTCAGCGGAACAAATGGCCTGGGTGGCCGCCTTCACTGTGTCGGCCTACGCCACAACTTTGTACAGGGTTGGCAAACCTTTTAACCCTCTGCTGGGGGAGACATTTGAGTTTGACAGGATGGAAGACCTGGGATGGAAGGGCATATCAGAGCAGGTAAACACATGGGATGGAAGGGCATATCAGAGCAGGTAAACACATGGGATGGAAGGGCATTTCAGAGCAGGTAAACACATGGGATGGGAGGGCATATCAGAGCAGGTAAACATGGTAGGGCATATCAGAGCAGGTAAACACATGGGAGGGCATATCAGAGCAGGTAAACACCTGGGATGGAAGGGCATTTCAGAGCAGGTAAACACATGGGATGGAAGGGCATATTAGAGCAGGTAAACACATGGGATGGGAGGGCATATCAGAGCAGGTAAACACATGGGATGGGAGGGCATATCAGAGCAGGTAAACATGGTAGGGCATATCAGAGCAGGTAAACACATGGGAGGGCATATCAGAGCAGGTAAACACATGGGATGGAAGGGCATATCAAAGCAGGTAAACACATGGGAGGGCATATCAGAGCAGGTAAACACATGGGAGGGCATATCAGAGCAGGTAAACACCTGGGATGGAAGGGCATATCAGAGCAGGTAAACACATGGGATGGAAGGGCATATCAGAGCAAGTAAACACATGAGATGGGAGGGCATATCAGAGCAGGTAAACACATGGGAGGGCATATCAGAGCAGGTAAACACATGAGATGGGAGGGCATAACAGAACAGGTAAACACATGGAAGGGCATAACAGAACAGGTAAACACATGGTATGGGAGGGCATATCAGAGCAGGTAAACACATGGGATGGGAGGGCATATCAGAGCAGGTAAACACATGGGATGGGAGGGCATATCAGAGTAGGTAAACACATGGGAGGGCATATCAGAGCAGGTAAACATGGGAGGGCATATCAGAGCAGGTAAACACATGGTATGGGAGGGCATAACAGAACAGGTAAACACATGGGAGGGCATAACAGAACAGGTAAACACATGGTATGGGAGGGCAGAACAGAACAGGTAAACACACGGGAGGGCATAACAGAACAGGTAAACACAGGATATGGGAGGGCATATCAGAGCAGGTAAACACATTGGATGGGAGGGCATATCAGAGTAGGTAAACACATAGGATGGAAGGGCATATCAGAGTAGGTAAACACATGGGATGGGAGGCATATCTGAGCAGGTAAACACATGGTAGGGCATAACAGAACAGGTAAACACATGGTATGGGAGGGCATAACAGAACAGGTAAACACATGGAATGAGGGGGCATATCAGAGCAGGTAAACATGGTAGGGCATATCAGAGCAGGTAAACACATGGGAGGGCATATCAGAACAGGTAAACACATGGGAGGGCATAACAGAACAGGTAAACACATGGTATGGGAGGGCAGAACAGAACAGGTAAACACATGGGAGGGCATAACAGAACAGGTTAACACAGGGTATGGGAGGGCATATCAGAGCAGGTAAACACATTGGATGGGAGGGCATATCAGAGTAGGTAAACACATGGGATGGAAGGGCATATCAGAGTAGGTAAACACATGGGATGGGAGGCATATCTGAGCAGGTAAACACATGGTAGGGCATAACAGAACAGGTAAACACATGGTATGGGAGGGCATAACAGAACAGGTAAACACATGGAATGAGGGGGCATATCAGAGCAGGTAAACATGGTAGGGCATATCAGAGCAGGTAAACACATGGGAGGGCATATCAGAACAGGTAAACACATGGGAGGGCATAACAGAACAGGTAAACACATGGTATGGGAGGGCAGAACAGAACAGGTTAACACATGGGAGGGCATAACAGAACAGGTTAACACAGGGTATGGGAGGGCATATCAGAGCAGGTAAACACATTGGATGGGAGGGCATATCAGAGTAGGTAAACACATGGGATGGAAGGGCATATCAGAGCAGGTAAACACATGGGATGGGAGGGCATATCAGAGCAGGTAAACACATGGGATGGGAGGGCATATCAGAGCAGGTAAACACATGGGATGGGAGGGCATATCAGAGCAGGTAAACACATGGGATGGGAGGGCATATCAGAGCAGGTAAACACATGGGAGGGCATATCAGAGCAGGTAAACACATGGGAGGGCATATCAGAGCAGGTAAACACATGGTATGGGAGGGCAGAACAGAACAGGTAAACACATGGGATGGGAGGGCATATCAGAGCAGGTAAACATGGGAGGGCATATCAGAGCAGGTAAACACATGGGATGGGAGGGCATAGAGCAGGTAAACACATGGTATGGGAGGGCATATCAGAGCAGGTAAACATGGGAGGGCATATCAGAGCAGGTAAACATGGAAGGGCATATCAGAGCAGGTAAACACATGGTATGGGAGGGCATATCAGAGCAGGTAAACATGGGAGGGCATATCAGAGCAGGTAAACACATGGGATGGGAGGGCATATCAGAGCAGGTAAACACATGGGATGGGAGGGCATATCAGAGCAGGTAAACACATGGGATGGGAGGGCATATCAGAGCAGGTAAACACATGGGATGGGAGGGCATATCAGAGCAGGTAAACACATGGTATGGGAGGGCATAACAGAACAGGTAAACACATGGGAGGGCAGAACAGAACAGGTAAACACATGGTATGGGAGGGCATAACAGAACAGGTAAACACATGGTATGGGAGGGCATATCAGAGCAGGTAAACACATTGGATGGGAGGGCATATCAGAGTAGGTAAACACATGGGATGGAAGGGCATATCAGAGCAGGTAAACACATTGGATGGGAGGTATATCTGAGCAGGTAAACATGGGAGGGCATATCAGAGCAGGTAAACACATGGTATGGGAGGGCATATCAGAGTAGGTAAACACATGGGATGGGAGGCATATCTTAGCAGGGAAACACATGGGATGGGAGGGCATATCAGAGCAGGTAAACACATGGGAGGGCATAACAGAACAGGTAAACACATGGTATGGGAGGGCATATCAGAACAGGTAAACACATGGGAGGTCATATCAGAGCAGGTAAACACATGGAATGAGGGGGCATATCAGAGCAGGTAAACACATGGGATGGGAGGGCATATCAGAGCAGGTAAACACATGGGATGGGAGGGCATATCAGAGCAGGTAAACACATGGGATGGGAGGGCATATCAGAGCATGTAAACACATGGGAGGCATATCTGAGCAGGTAAACACATGGGATGGGAGGGCATATCAGAGCAGGTAAACACATGGGAGGGCATATCAGAGCAGGTAAACACATGGAATGAGGGGCATATCAGAGCAGGTAAACACATGGGAGGGCATATCAGAGCAGGTAAACACATGGGATGGGAGGGCATATCAGAGCAGGTAAACACATGGGATGGGAGGGCATATCAGAGCAGGTAAACACATGGGATGGGAGGGCATATCAGAGCAGGTAAACACATGGGATGGGAGGGCATATCAGAGCAGGTAAACACATGGGATGACTGGATATGTAATAAAGCATTAGGTATGGTTGTAATTTTAAATGGAATGTGCTAAGTAAGACATCATATGATGCTGAATGTTTTCTGAATCAATAGCTCAAGCAACCCCCATCTGTGTGGATGTAACATGACTTGTATAGTGCAGGGGTCGGCAACCTGCTCTCTCGCGAGCCGCATGCGGCTCTTATGATATCAAGATGCGGCTCTCAAGCTCCTTGAACAAATACTAATAATCTTAATAAAAAAATAAAATATTTGAAATAAAAAAAATGTTAGTGGCTCTTTAAAACCAGGGAAATTTTGAAAATTGTAACTTTTGGCTCTTCCGCTTCAAAAGGTTGCCGACCCCTGGTATAGGCGGGTAGGGACTGCTACTTTCATGTAACACATGTTGTTTTGTTTGATCCTATCAGGGGATTACATAGACTTGTGGCAGCTAACTGTAGACCAGTGTGTAGGGACTGCTACTTTCATGTAACACATGTTGTTTTGTTTGATCCTATCAGGGGATTACATAGACTTGTGGCAGCTAACTGTAGACCAGTGAGTAGGGACTGCTACTTTCATGTAACACATGTTGTTTTGTTTGATCCTATTAGGGGATTACATAGACTTGTAGCAGCTAACTGTAGACCAGTGTGTCATGTACACAAACATATGATGCCACATGCTGCACACACACAGACAAAGATCAGCTGAATGTTTTATGCACTGGGTGATAGATAATGCACTTAGTTAAATCAATACTGGAAGCCTACTTCAGTTTGTTTCAGTGTGACCCACAGATAGTAAAAGTTAGATAACCATCTACCAGTTGCTGTTGTTATATGTGATAGGGCTGGGTGGCTGTGGATAGCTCTGTACTCACTCATGTCACAGCTGCTCCACTCACACTATGTAGATTTTATTATAGGCGCTCTTTTGAACATTTCAGGTGTCCCATCACCCACTCACACTATGTAGATTTTATTATAGGCGCTCTTTTGAACATTTCAGGTGTCCCATCACCCCACTCACACAAAGTAGATTTTATAATAGCAGCTTGTATGAACATTTCAGGTGTCCCATCACCCCACTCACACTATGTAGATTTTATAACGGCAGCTTGTATGAACATTTCAGGTGTCCCATCACCCCACTCACACAAAGTAGATTTTATAACGGCAGCTTGTATGAACATTTCAGGTGTCCCATCACCCCACTCACACAAAGTAGATTTTATAACGGCAGCTTGTATGAACATTTCAGGTGTCCCATCACCCCACTCACACTATGTAGATTTTATAACGGCAGCTTGTATGAACATTTCAGGTGTCCCATCACCCCACTCACACAAAGTAGATTTTATAACGGCAGCTTGTATGAACATTTCAGGTGTCCCATCACCCCACTCACACTATGTAGATTTTATAACGGCAGCTTGTATGAACATTTCAGGTGTCCCATCACCCCACTCACACTATGTAGATTTTATAACGGCAGCTTGTATGAACATTTCAGGTGTCCCATCACCCCACTCACACTATGTAGATTTTATAATGGCAGCTTGTATGAACATTTCAGGTGTCCCATCACCCCACTCACACTATGTAGATTTTATAACGGCAGCTTGTATGAACATTTCAGGTGTCCCATCACCCCACTCACACTATGTAGATTTTATAACGGCAGCTTGTATGAACATTTCAGGTGTCCCATCACCCCACTCACACTATGTAGATTTTATAATGGCAGCTTGTATGAACATTTCAGGTGTCCCATCACCCCACTCACACTATGTAGATTTTATAACGGCAGCTTGTATGAACATTTCAGGTGTCCCATCACCCCACTCACACTATGTAGATTTTATAACGGCAGCTTGTATGAACATTTCAGGTGTCCCATCACCCCACTCACATTATGTAGATTTTATAACGGCAGCTTGTATGAACATTTCAGGTGTCCCATCACCCCACTCACACTATGTAGATTTTATAACGGCAGCTTGTATGAACATTTCAGGTGTCCCATCACCCCACTCACACTATGTAGATTTTATAACGGCAGCTTGTATGAACATTTCAGGTGTCCCATCACCCCACTCACACAAAGTAGATTTTATAACGGCAGCTTGTATGAACATTTCAGGTGTCCCATCACCCCACTCACACTATGTAGATTTTATAACGGCAGCTTGTATGAACATTTCAGGTGTCCCATCACCCCACTCACACTATGTAGATTTTATAACGGCAGCTTGTATGAACATTTCAGGTGTCCCATCACCCCACTCACACTATGTAGATTTTATAACGGCAGCTTGTATGAACATTTCAGGTGTCCCATCACCCCACTCACACAAAGTAGATTTTATAACGGCAGCTTGTATGAACATTTCAGGTGTCCCATCACCCCACTCACACTATGTAGATTTTATAACGGCAGCTTGTATGAACATTTCAGGTGTCCCATCACCCCACTCACACTATGTAGATTTTATAACGGCAGCTTGTATGAACATTTCAGGTGTCCCATCACCCCACTCACACTATGTAGATTTTATAACGGCAGCTTGTATGAACATTTCAGGTGTCCCATCACCCTCCCATGCTGGCCATGCACATAGATGGGAGAGAGTGGAGTACCTGGCAGGAATTTACCATGACAACCAAATTCAGGGGAAGATACTTGCAAATAGTTCCAATGGGTAAGGACCTTAACATTGTACATGTCTTTTGTCTAATGTGGCACTAGTTCGTTATTTGAATTATAAAATTATTGTACATGTCTTTTGTCTAATGTGGCACCAGTTATTTGAATCATTGTACATGTCTTTTGTCTAATGTGGCACCAGTTAGTTATTTGAATCATTGTACATGTCTTTTGTCTAATGTGGCACTAGTTAGTTATTTGAATCATATGCTGAATGTCTGCTTCCAGGTATTGCTCACCTGGTGTTTCACAAAACTGGTCACCACTACACCTGGCGCAAGGTGACCACCACAGTCAACAACATCATCGTTGGTAAACTGTGGGTGGACAACCATGGTGAGATGGACATCACCAACCACACCAATGGTGACAAGTGTCACCTCAAGTACTCAGCCTACAGCTACTTCTCTAGAGAGAATCCCAGAAAGGTGAGAGTTCAAGGTCTTTGGTCACATGGTCAAAACAACTTTTTCTCTATTATAAATAAGTTGATGAGAAATACACACATTTTAATTGGGTAAAAGGCTTCATTTGTATACACAACACAGACTTTTTTAAACACAATCTTTACCTCACTATCAACAAAACAATCTGGAACCCCCCCCCCCCCCCCCCACCCCTCCAACTGTAAACCACAGTTTCTGTTTTATTTTTTAAATTTTATTTTAATATTTACCCAGCGCCATCAACATTGAATGTATTCATCAATTTCTATTACAATGCAAAATGTTTTTAAAAAGCAAGTGCAAAATAAAGACTAAAATATGTTTCTAGACATGCAAACCCCCCCCCCCCCCCCATGTCACAACAAAGTCTGAGCCCTTCCACCCCCTCCAACATTTTTATTTAAGAGTTTTTGGGAGACCCCCTAACCTAATTTAAATTTATTGAGTTAGGTTTTAAATCAAATTAAAATCTTTAAAATGGTAATAATCATGTTAAAAATTATTTATGTATCAATCAATTAAATCATTTAATTAGGTGTAATTTATTTTTAAAAATTTTCAATGAGATAGAAAAGGATATAATTTAATTTGGAAAGGTTCCAATGAAATAATTAAATCAGCTGATCTGTACACCCAATAACAAGTTGTCTAAAGTGAACTGATATTATCGCCTTTAACCACCATGACCTTTCAACTAATGACCTCTAACCCCTACGACCAGGTGACAGGTGTTGTGACAGACATCCAGGGTGAGGCCAAGTGGGTGTTGACGGGGACGTGGGACCAGAAGATGGAGGCAGCACAGATTGTCCACGCTGAGGAGTCCAACAAGGGGAAGCCAGTCTTTGAGACAGGACCTCACAAAACCATGTGGAAAGTCAGAAACCCTGCGTAAGTAATGGCTGCTAGCTGTTTGCTGTGTGTGATTGGACTAGTTTTACTCCAAAGTCAGAAGTCTTCATGATGAGACTATATTTGTTTCAGCCCCGGGTCAGAGAAGGTTTACTTCTTCAGTCCTCTGGCCATAGAGATGAATGAAATGGAAGAGGGCGTGGCTCCCACAGACTCCAGGCATAGACCTGACCAGAGGCTGATGGAAGAAGGCCAATGGGATGAGGCCAACAGGGTCAAGGTCAAGCTTGAAGAAAAACAAAGAGAAGTGAGGAAACAGAGGGAAGCAGAGGCTGAGGCAATGAGGGCAGAAGGTGAGCAGTAGTTTTCTCTATTTACTTTGTTGTTTTGATGAATTACATATCACTATAATGTTACTTTCAATTGTATTTATATATGCTAAAATTAAGTCAATTTTCCTTGTTCAGTAAAAAAAAATGTATTACTAAAAACTAAATATTATTGGGTTGGGCAGTTAGTATCATTTCAAATTTGATATGCATCATATAGAGTTTTTTAATGAGAGAAAAAATAATTCTAGGCAGTAAGAGTAAAGTAGCTTGGTATTGTACTGTCCTTACATGACCTTCAAATAAACATTAACTACTTTATTTGCCCTCATTGTGTTGGAGGGTTGTTCCTTTTGGTTTATAAATAAAGTTTTTTGATGGCTGTAGCTAGTGCTAATACAAAAGTTTGAGATGACTCTAGCTAGTGCTAATAGAAAAGTTTGAGATGACTGAAGCTAGTGCTAATATAAAAGTTTGAGATGACTGTAGCTAGTGCTAATAGAAAAGTTTGAGATGACTGAAGCTAGTGCTAATATAAAAGTTTGAGATGACTGTAGCTAGTGCTAATAGAAAAGTTTGAGATGACTGAAGCTAGTGCTAATAGAAAAGTTTGAGATGACTGAAGCTAGTGCTAATATAAAAGTTTGAGATGACTGTAGCAAGTGCTAATAGAAAAGTTTGAGATGACTGTAGCTAGTGCTAATAGAAAAGTTTGAGATGACTGTAGCTAGTGCTAATACAAAAGTTTGAGATGACTCTAGCTAGTGCTAATATAAAAGTTTGAGATGACTGAAGCTAGTGCTAATATAAAAGTTTGAGATGACTGTAGCTAGTGCTAATAGAAAAGTTTGAGATGACTGAAGCTAGTGCTAATAGAAAAGTTTGAGATGACTGAAGCTAGTGCTAATATAAAAGTTTGAGATGACTGTAGCAAGTGCTAATAGAAAAGTTTGAGATGACTGTAGCTAGTGCTAATAGAAAAGTTTGAGAAGACTCTAGCTAGTGCTAATAGAAAAGTTTGAGAAGACTCTACCTAGTGCTAATAGAAAAGTTTAAGATGACTCTACCTAGTGCTAATATAAAAGTTTGAGATGACTGTAGCTAGTGCTAATACAAAAGTTTGAGATGACTGTAGCTAGTGCTAATATAAAAGTTTGAGATGACTGTAGCTAGTGCTAATATAAAAGTTTGAGATGACTGTAGCTAGTGCTAATATAAAAGTTTGAGATGACTGTAGCTAGTGCTAATATAAAAGTTTGAGGTGACTGTAGCTAGTGCTAATAGAAAAGTTTGAGATGACTGTAGCTAGTGCTAATAGAAAAGTTTGAGATGACTCTAGCTAGTGCTAATAGAAAAGTTTGAGATGACTGTAGCTAGTGCTAATAGAAAAGTTTGAGATGACTCTAGCTAGTGCTAATAGAAAAGTTTGAGATGACTGTAGCTAGTGCTAATAGAAAAGTAAAATATTGCAGGCAAAGACGTCCCTCACTACCAAGCAACTTGGTTTAAAAAAGAACGTGACGTGACAACAGGTGCCATGATCCACATCTTCAACAAGAAGTACTGGGAGTGTAAGGAGAGACAAGACTGGCACATGTGTCCTGACATCTTCTTGTGATCCCACGCCCCGACATAGATTCACTCATTGCTTGCTTGGTCAGTTCTCCTCTATACCAGTTTGTGCACTGTAAGATTGTACATTTAGCTGCACTAGAATACAGGAGAGAGAAAATTAAGTTTTTTATGTTTACAAAATTTAATGGAATTGTATCATTTTTTTTTTGCCTTGTGCAGAAATTGAGAATTTTTTTAATGAAATTTTAAAATGAACCTGTGAATGATTTCAAACATGATTTCAAATGAAGATTGCTTTTTAAGCAAAATAAAAACTTAATGTATGGTGTTAGTGAATGTGTGGGATGTAGTGTGGGCCTAGTGTTAACAGTTTGGTGATGTATATATATTTACCCTAAGGAGGGATGTGTAGTCCCCCAGTGATTTCAGTTTAGATGTAGATATATGACTGTAAGTACTATAGGCCCAAGGTGTACTCTTTCTCTTTGATCACTGCATGACCTTGACATTAGATGACCACTAGCTGGTGATGTGGGTGTGTTGGTCATCTGTCCTGGCTAGGATGAGTGGGTTGTTTGCTGCCAGCCAGGTTTCACTTGCTTGCTCTCATGTTGTTTGTTTGCCACATTGTTTTAGCCGACAGCGCCAGACGGACTTCTCTAGAACATTCAGCCAGCCATCTCGGTTGTCACTGTTCAAAGATTTTTTCAATGACCCCAGGTTTAAGGTTGAATGTGTGTAGAGCTACCCCAGAGAGGATAGGTGTGTACAACCTGTGTGTATTTATGATGTCTGTGTCAGCTGTTAGCATTTCCTCCCTCCTCACAAAGGGAGGGAACTTAGTATTATCAGTTTTATGATAGTCCTGGATTGTTTATCTGTGTTCTTGCCCCTGTTTACTGTGATTATGTTCTAAACAAGTGTGTCTGTGTTTATCTACTTATGCTTTGGGGAAAAAAAATCCATCTTTTGAGACTTAATTTTGTGCCAGAGTTTTGACCTGTGTGCTTACCATTACTTTTTTTTAAACCTAAACAAACAAACAAACAACTGATTGTTGTAAAGAAGGATTTGTTGTGCCTGAGTTAATTGTAAGCTCAAAGTCATTCCTTAATTGTTCCATTGAGTACTAACATTGTGTATAGATCCAGTGGTTATTGTGTACTAACTTTATATATGCACTCTTCTGCTAGTCTTGTGCTTGCTAAATCTGGTCAGTTTTTCATGCTTTAAAAAAAAATATCAAGTGTGCTAGAATAGTTGAAAGTCTTGGATTATAATTTCATGTTCCTATGGTAGGGTGTCATTAGCCGACACAACACCTCTCTCACACACACTGATATAACCTATGGATTTGACAGGGGTGTCCTCTCAACTAGATGTCACAACTAGACGTAGTGCGGGGCTGTATGCCAAGATGTCACAACTAAACGTAGTGCGGGGCTGTATGCCTGCTTATGATCACATTTTGTCACATTTTGTTTAACCTTCTGATGCACCAAACTTGGTAGGATATTTCCCCCCCCCCCCCCCCCCCCCCCCCCCCATCTAATGCAGTGACAACACCCAATCCTTTTGTTTACATTGTACATAGCATAGTCAATCAACTACAATTTCTTATTTATCATTTTTTTAAATCAATTTTGTGTTGCTTTATTTCTACGGGGTTCCATGTTGTTAGTACAGGTGTATAAATCAATCAAAATGTTTAATTAGTGGTCCATGCCAGGTGTGTGATTGGTGTTGTAGTGGCTAATGTGTGGTCAACTCAGGTGTGTGATTGATGGCTAGTGTGTGGTCAACTCAGTCCCATAACTCACAAGATTGATTTCAGGCCATTCTTGTGGGGTCAGTATTTAAAAATTCTCACTCAGGACATAAGGGGACATTAATACATGAATCTGTGTGTAGGGTGGGTTGGGAATGTGTACCATTAAATCTGTGTGTAGGGTGGGTTGCGAATGTGTACCATTGAATCTGTATGTATGGTGGGTTGGGAATGTGTACCATTGTGAGGCAGACATTTCTTGTTGCTGTACTGAGGGAGTGTGTCATTATCCTGTTAAAGCTAGACTTAAACAATTGTAGCTTTGTTAGACTGATGCATTGACGTCATGGCAATCTAGCATTTTTTGTGTTACAAAATAGTTTAAGAATTCATTACCAATGATCAAGTTTTCATTCTAAAAAATGTGTAATTTTAATGTCTGCTATTCATTATAACATTTTACAATAGTTGTACACAGCATTGGGTGAGGCTGTTTGAAGTGGGTCTTTTTTTTTTAATGATATTGTGCTTTGATTAACCATGATTGGAACTTGAGTCATGTGACTTTGTTGTTCTACCACCTGCTGTAGTGGCAAGTGTTTCAGAGAGCTGGGTGGTTTACCCGATGACTCACCTTGTAGTTTACCTGTCTTCACAATCCACTGGTGTGATGTTACCTTGTACTATATGCTTTATTGGGAAAACCCAATTTTTTAATGGGGAAAACCCAGTTTTTTAATGGGGAAACCCTGCAATAATTTGAGAATTCCCTTGCATTTATTTAGTCAGCTTAGACTATCACTCAGCTAAAGTTGTTGTTGACATAGAATAAGATGTAAAACACACTGATAGATGTAGCAATTTCACTAGATTAAACCAATGAAATGTTCTTCACAATTAACTAGAACAATATTAGTCTGTTCATGATTGTATACCAAAGGCTCTATTAAAATAAGTTTACAAGTGTGACAGAGTCTGAATGTTAAATATGCTATTTTTTTTTGTATATCCCAGATAATTTATTTGTTAATACATTTTTTGTGATAAATTTGTGAGCTTGAACTGATTTGGTCCAGCTGGCTTGGTTTTTATCTATTTGAATAAAATTGTTTTAGGACAGCTTTTGTCTGTTGAGGTCCATTTTTTAAAAGTCTAAATAGAAGTTTTGTAAGAAACATTTTTTGTGTGTACTTGGTAGAATTTGACCAGTTTCCAAAGAGAAAATGTTGGGCCTAAAGCTATATGGCTTGGTCAGTAGATGGTGTGTTGGTGTCAATAGGTCATGTGTTGGTGTCAACAGATGGTGTGTTGGTGTCAACAGATGAGTGTTGGTGTCAACAGTTTGTGTATGTCAGCTGCACATATTGATGTAGACATTGCCTGTACATATTCAGTGGTGTGATGTCAGGGTGGAACTATACTAGCATTTATCCTTAGGCTTGTCTGATTCCAAATTTATCTGGCTTGTGCTTTCCTAGTAAGGTACACGATGTTAGCCAGTCATAATATGTTTTATTTATTCTTTAGTATTTCCGGATGATGAAAACATAAGCCAATGTAATAACTTCTCTTCTGTGAAGTCTTGAATAAACTGGCTAAGATGTCAAGTTGTGTTGTCTTCAGTCTGTGTTTGTTTATTGTGTTTTGTGTCTTCAGTCTGTGTTTGTTTATTGTGTTTTGTGTCTTTAGTCTGTGTTTGTTTATTGTGTTTTGTGTCTTTAGTCTGTGTTTGTTTATGGTGGAAGTATCAGTCATAGAATTATGGCCCAAAGTGAGGTATGTATACATTGGACAATCTGAAACTATTTCTTTAAATACTGATCGAAGTCCAAAAATGTTGGCGCCCAATCGAAGTCCAAAAGTGTTCGTACTCAGTTACAGCCAGTACAACCACAATAAACGACAGAAGAAACTAGACTAAAGAGAAGGTAATTCTTAAGAAAAATAGTGCAACTATCCTAATATATAATAAAAGCCCTTGTGCGCACTTCTCTCCATCTCTCTCTGTCCACAATATTTTTAGGCGATGTGATCAGTATGTTCAGGGATATATGGAGAACTTAAAGATACGGACTTTTGTTGAAAATAATATGGTAGATGTTATAAATGTATAAACTATTTTTTTTAAAGAAGAAAAATAAAGGCATATTCAAATGTAGAAACAATTTTAATTATCCAAATGGAGAAGTGTTTATTGTGAAAATAACGCAGTTTTTAGTTACAATCCAAAAATTGCCACAATTAGCTAACACATCATAGAACACAAATCTTTAACACCTCTTGAACCGAAGACAATTATACTGTTCAGTCTGTGGTCAAGTCTATAGCTAAAATTTCAGTAAAGTACTATGGGATGGCGTAGTCTAGTGGTAAAGAACTAGACGCTGACCCGACTAAAAACCATTGCGCGCCTATTGAACGTGATGACGCGCTGTTGTCGTAGAGGCCCCCCCCCCCCCCCCAATCGCTCCACGCCCAAGACGGCCGTGATGATGCGTGTTGATAGAACTGCCTACTAATTCGGTCCAAATTTTAATTAATTCATAAAAAATGAATTAGGCGACCAATTAAGTCAAATTGAATGTCACGATGCATTGTCTTCATGTCTTGACCCACGTACCAACTACGAACCGTATCTGTCAGTTAGAACTGCCTGCAATTTCACAAGGGCGTTTCGATCTAGACAGACAAGAAGTGAGTGTAATAAAAGCTTGTAAAAAATAACATGTATAATGATTGGTTGATTTTTTATTTAATTTTTTTTATTAAACTTTAATTTTTTAAAACAAATTACAACATATTTTACAGTAACAAAATTTACATATAAATATAAGTGATAGCTTAATAATAATTATGGCAAATAAGTGATGGAGTTAAGTTTGATATGTACAAAACCCAAGACAAGTAAAAACAATTTCAATGAAACTTTTATTTTCAAATAGAAATAATGACATCTGCATGGCTTATACAAATGTACTCATCAAGGTAGCAAAAGATTGAATTAAATTTTAAACAATTTATAATTCGATTATTTAATAAAGCTAATCCTTTTCAATTTAAAATAAAGTCTAATAATAATTCTAAAATATAAGTATAGTAAAGAACAAACATATTTTCATATAAGAATTTTAATGATGATGCTATATTTAGTCATAAACAACGATTCACTTTGATTTTTATTTTTTAGCTACTTAATTTTTCATTTATTAACAACTTGAGGAAACAATTGTGAATTGTATCCCTTTGTTATTTTGTTTAGATAAATGGGAAGTGAGTAGCACAATGCCGTTCAAAATGTTTGTTTTTTACCCTCTTTTGCGCCCCCATAGATTTGGTATCCAGAACAACCACCCTCCCCCCCCCCCCCCCCCCAACCCCACACACACACACCCTAGCAACGTGACAAATAGCTTTTATGTAATTCGGTTAGCTGATTAAAGTCAAAACAATGTATTCGTCTGCTGTATTAAAATGGGGTAACAGCCTGACTTTGCTGAAGTCAAAGACCTCAGTCAGATTTAACTTGAACTCTATATTTTCACACAGCGGTGGTTATGGGCTAATTATGTTTGGTACGGACTGTTTTGGGTTAATCCGTGACAGTTCGAAGAGGGTCAATGTGGGGACGATGTCATCGTACACTTCCACACTTTTAATTTAGCTGTTGCTCATAATAAACATTTTCACACTTTTCATCGACTACCCATTTTTTTTGTAGTTTTGTTTTGTAAAAGCATGGATTGAAGTACTAAAGGTTTGTGATCTAATTATATCAACTTCGTGATTTATAACAGATTGGTCACGTCGGTCACGTGCTAGTGTAACTTGGTGGTCACGTGACGCGGCTCCCAAACGAGGATGTCAAACACTTGCAGGTGGTGACTAGACTTGACGTCATCACCAGCTGTAACGAATCTACGCTAACCGAGGACACGCCGAGCGGGGTGGGCCACACGAGTGTCGGGATTGGAGGGTAGACGGGGTCAGCATCTGTGACACGTCCGAGTGAAAGTGACGAGGCCGGATGTATTCAGTTGACCGCTGTCTGCTGGTCCGTAATTAGACGTGCTGTACTGGCCACGTCTCCCAACGATACGACAGTTTGTTGAACTTTGTTATTCAACTGTATGATAGTTTGTGGAACCTATTTCAATCTTACGGATGAGCCGATTGGCGTTATGATTAATTTGTGTGATTTGCTTTATGTGCAGGTACCCAATTACCCTGTGCACCGGTTGTATTTTATCCACTGAGTGTTTTACACGTCGTAAGTGTTCGTTAAAATGTGAAATAAAGGAATTAAAAAATTACACTTCAACCCAGACGATAATCAAAGCCACAGACAGACTGTTGTGGCCCACACTTGGATCTAAGGCAAGTGACCACATGCACCCCCCACCCTATCCATTGACCACATGCACCCCCACCCTATCCATTGACCACATGCACCCCACTCTATCCATTGACCACATGCACCCCCACCCTATCCATTGACAACTCTCAGTGTTATTATTATTAATTAACATTTGGAGGGGCATTTTAACGAAATCGTTGCTCTTTAAATCTCCCTCACCCGACCCTTCACAAATCTACCGTGAATATAAGCAAATTTTTACTAAAACGTAATAAATGAACAAACATACATTATTTGACTTAAAAATGAAAAAACAAAACTAAGTTATACCTAAATATTTAAATTAACGTAAACTGCGTTTGTTTCGTTTCTAACCTGATTTTTTTTAATTCTCATTTTAAAAAACTAGAGCCCCCTCCTCTCTCTCCCTCTCTTTCTTGCGTTGTAGATGTAGATCTAGGCTACGCTAGTACGCTACAAAAAGAAAAGCTCACAAAGGTTTCAAATAGGCTCTCCCAGACTTATTTACATACTTGGCGACTGGGCTAGGGGTAACAAGCCAGGTTTTTTAAAACTTTAAATTAAAAGACCTCTGGAAAGTTTGCCGCTTGGTAATTACGATGAGTGGAGAGCAGGCGTGACCTATTTTGTCTGCTGTTTACAGACGTGGGGTGTAGATAAAAATATATTGACGGATGTTCCGTTGTTTGTTTTTGATACATCATCTGCTGCTAACACCCTTTGCATCTACAGACGACAGATCTCTGAACGTCTGCTAACACACGTGACTGGAAGCCGTGAAACGAAACCAGAAGACACCACGAGACACCACGAGCTGTTTACCGATGACAACGAGACAGTCTGCAAACAACGAGCTAGCTGACAGGTGCGCTGTTTATAAAGTGTGAAAAAAACACAGGCCATATTTCATGGCTTAAAATGTCGTGAGTTTAATCTCTGGGTAATATTTAGGCCCCACACGCTATGGATTATAATGAATTTCTTGGACGGGATGAAACATTATTACGCAACTTGGTGAGTACATCGAATCTATGACACAAATGCACGATAATGTTGATTACACTTGCAGTTTCTAATGTTTCTACGGGCATTTTGTGTTAAAATGTAAAATTTGCAATACTTTTTTTTGCTGAGATTTATATCTGTTAGACTAACATGACAACGACGTAGTGTTGAAGACAAGAATAAAGCATATAATGTAAATGTTAATATACTGGATAACTACAGCATTTTCCAGTATAATTGTGTAAAATATAAATGGGATTTAGAAAAAAATTCTGTGTAGTTTTTAGAGTAGAGTTTTAGCGACGGCCTCTGCTGCTCACTAAACAATGTAAAAATGATTTTTACTTTGGCTCTTGTGCAATATTAAAGATGTAGAAATTTTTGTAGGCCAATAACACACTTATGAATGCACTAAAAATAAGAAAATAGCCCTTTTCTTCACTTAGGTATAATATCTGCTAATAATATATAGATCTAGAGCTTTTGCTATTAGAAATATGTTTCTGCAGAAAGAAAGTTTTTCTTATTTTTAGTTCAATTTAAAAAGATTTTTAACACACTTTTATTTTTTCATTCCATTTATTATTAGGAAATGTTATAATATAATAGTCGACATTTAAGCTTTTATAAAGCGATACAATAGTTATTCTTTCCTGATCGACAATTCACAAGACTAAAAATATTTGTTTTAGGCATAAAACCCGATACGCAGTTAGAATCTAGTTATTTATATTAACTCTAAACGCCAGTAATGATCTAAGCCACCTCTCATTAGCTTCCCAATCGGCTCTAGGCCTGTGAATACTAGCTCACCTGTGATCATTAGCACCTTTTGTCATTGAATATAGCTTTAATATTTAAAGAATTATTTAGTATTAATATTGTTAATGAGATATTGCGATGTCATTAGATATGTAATTTATCTTCAAAGAAAGAAATCGTCCCATTGGAATTTCGAGATGGACTTAAGAAAAACAAACTAAAAATTTGAACTAGGTATATCTATAGTCGCGTGGACCATCAGTAAAAAGTTGATTGAAAAATGTATTTGAATTGGCTTTTTTTTTTCTTCTTCTTTTGTTACGATTAATTTTTGTTGATGAAAGTAAAATAGGTATTTATTGTAACCGATTCAACACATTTTAACGTCCAGTTTCATGTTTTGTCTGTACCCATCCCCCCCCCCCTTCGGGGTAGTTTCAGCGTTATGTGTACCATGCCTCAGTTATTGACATATTTACAGCCTTATTTTACATATGAGTTACGCAATTAATAGTCAGTAGTGGTACTTAATTAACCTAATTAACCCTAACCGAGTGTTAGAATTACGCCCTACCTACCCTGGCCGTAAAAAAATTTAATTCGATGAAAGTGAAGTATTGCTGTTACTTTAAGTGTCATAGCTGTCTGGCCTGGCGCTGTTGACCAGATGGCCACTGGCTGTCGTCATCAGCACAGGTGCACGTCTGGTCATGTTGAAATAGCAGACGTTGGTTTCCTGTGTCCACATACTGTTTGACTTTGTTTACTGATTTTGTTTACTGTTTACATTTTGTTTTATCTACACTGACCTTATATGTGAAACTATTTAGATTACGCCTAAACCAGACACTAATCCTTGTCATTAGTCTAACCTTTAATCGAAGTGTTTATTTTTTCAAAGACTACACAACACACGCCCCATTATTGATCGATATTAAAAATCGGTCAATTAAAATTAAATTTAAAAAATGTGCTTTCGTTGTGTCTTCCCCCTTATCAAAAAATTCCATCTTCGGGGAAGCCTCGTTCTAATATTATAATCAAAGCGGGCGTTGTGTTCGTCACTCTGTCTTGTTAAACCTGACACGGGTTATTCCCCTTGTCTGTCTGATGTATGACAACATTTATGCGTCTTTGAAAAAGGGAATTTTGTACTTTTTTTTTCAGGGTCTTGTTTTAATTTATTATTAGAAGAACCGTCACATGTAGAAAAAAAAATCAGGTTTAATGTCCGTGTACACTCCCCTAACCTTCAAACTTCCAAGTTATCGAGAAATATTTAAATTGTTCGTGGAATCGTGTCTGTCTTTAAAATACATCACAATAATGACATTTGTGACTTCCATAAACAAAGAGTAGGGAGTGAGGCATTGTCGTCATAAGTCAGGATAACGTGTATAAGTTGGTGCATGTGAGTGTGTGTGTGGTGCTGGGATATCTGTAGAAGTTAAAGATCCACACTTAGTACTGAGTGACAGTGTTTATGTGTGTGAATTGCTTTTATCCCTCCTCCCCCCCCCCACCAGTGTTTCTTCCAGACTTTTCTCCTGGCGCGGGGGGGGGGGGGGGGGGCTTCGTTTTCCAAATTTCCAGGGGGTGGGACGGATACAAGTAAAAGTATGTTTTCTATATAAATTCCATTTCGTTCGGGGGGGGGGGGGGGGCTGGAAGAGATGCCTGGAAGAAACCTTACCCCCCACCTTCCCCCACAGACATAACAACATACAGCCTACGTCACTGCCATTAGTCCCGTGCCAGGAGGGAACTCAGTCACCGAAAGAAGCCCGAGCTCTAGAAGCTGTTATTTGTTGTGATATTAAATCACCACTTAACGGTTGTAAAAAGTTGCTCCTATATTTAAACAACAACGCCGACCGCCCTAGTGGACTTGTCCTGCCATAAACGTCACACTTGATTGGTGGCGTCAGACACGATGAAGTGTCGTCCACAAGTTTTATCGCCATTGTCGAGTTTTCCTACCCCCTCGGAGTTTACACCGACAGTCTCTCCCTCGAGCCGTCATCGTCTAGTGCACAAGGACACGAGTAAGCCGAATGCTGCGCTGGTTTAAATTGCCGGTGTAAAACCCTAACCTTTTGTTGAGAGCTGTTTACAGGTCCTCAAACTCTGATGTATAGACCTCGAATCTGGACTTTGTTACGTACTGGTTAATTAGTCAGAGGCGACTTGCTTAGATGATGACCGCTATACTTATTTTGTTAGCCGTTAGACTTTACATAACGACTAGACTACTGACCACTTGGACTCAGATGTTTGGTTCTCTGCGTCTCTCCTGGTTCCCTTTGAATCTATGTTCCCTGTGACAACCTTGGTTCCCTGTTGCTCTCCTCGTTCCCTTTGAATCTAGGCTCCCTATGACACCCCTGGTTCCCTTATAATCTAGGTTCCCCGTGTCTCTCCTGGTTCCCTTATAATCTAGGTTCTCTGTGTCTCTCATGGTTCCCCGTGTCTCTCCTGGTTCCCTTATAATCTAGGTTCCCTGTGTCTCTCCCGGTTCCCTTATAATCTAAGTTCCCTGTGTCTCTACCGGTTCCCTTTGAATCTATGTTCCCTGTGTCTCTCCTGGTTCCCTGTGTCTCTCCTGGTTCCCTGTGTCTCTCCTGGTTCCCATATAATCTATGTTCCCTATGACACCCCTGCTACATGCCACCGTAGCCCCACACTAGACAAACATTTTCCCTGATCACATCTTGGTGGGGGACTCACAACTACGTCATAAGCAGATAGCGGCGGGATTAGAGATTAGCAAATGTACTAATCTCTAAACCAGGACGCTCTTATTTCAATTTCAATTAATCAGCTGAAAGCCTGCCAAAGTGCCCACAAAAAGACACTGTCAGTGTTACAGTAGTGTAGCAAGCAGGACACAGCTTTGTTGTGTTGATCTTATGTGTCGGCCATTTGCCTGTAGGTGTCGGCCTTATGTCTATGTGTGTCGGCCTTATGCCTGTGTGTGTCGGCCTTATGCATGTGTGTGTCAGCCTTACATGTGTGTGTCGGCCTTATGTCTGTGTGTCGGCCTTATGTCTGTGTGTCGGCCTTATGCCTGTGTGTCGGCCTTATGTCTGTGTGTGTCGGCCTTTTGCCTGTGTGTGTCGGCCTTATGTCTGTGTGTGTCGGCCTTATGCCTGTGTGTGTCGGCCTTATGCATGTGTGTGTCAGCCTTACATGTGTGTGTCGGCCTTATGTCTGTGTGTCGGCCTTATGTCTGTGTGTCGGCCTTATGCCTGTGTGTCGGCCTTATGTCTGTGTGTGTCGGCCTTATGCATGTGTGTCGGCCTTATGCCTGTGTGTGTCGGCCATTTGCCTGTGTGTGTCGGCCTTATGTCTGTGTGTGTCGGCCTTATGCCTGTGTGTGTCGGCCTTACATGTGTGTGTCGGCCTTATGTCTGTGTGTGTCGGCCTTATGCATGTGTGTGTCGGCCTTATGCCTGTGTGTGTCGGCCATTTGCCTGTGTGTGTCGGCCTTATGCATGTGTGTGTCGGCCTTATGCCTGTGTGTGTCGGCCATTGCCTGTGTGTGTCGGCCTTATGTCTGTGTGTGTCGGCCTTATGCCTGTGTGTGTCGGCCTTACATGTGTGTGTCGGCCTTATGTCTGTGTGTCGGCCTTATGTCTGTGTGTCGGCCTTATGCCTGTGTGTCGGCCTTATGTCTGTGTGTGTCGGCCTTATGCATGTGTGTCGGCCTTATGCCTGTGTGTGTCGGCCATTTGCCTGTGTGTGTCGGCCTTATGTCTGTGTGTGTCGGCCTTATGCCTGTGTGTGTCGGCCTTACATGTGTGTGTCGGCCTTATGTCTGTGTGTGTCGGCCTTATGCATGTGTGTGTCGGCCTTATGCCTGTGTGTGTCGGCCATTTGCCTGTGTGTGTCGACCTTATGCATGTGTGTGTCGGCCTTATGCCTGTGTGTGTCGGCCATTTGCCTGTGTGTGTCGGCCTTATGTCTGTGTGTGTCGGCCTTATGCCTGTGTGTGTCGGCCTTACATGTGTGTGTCGGCCTTATGTCTGTGTGTGTCGGCCTTATGCCTGTGTGTGTCGGCCTTACATGTGTGTGTCGGCCATTTGCCTGTGTGTGTCGGCCTTATGTCTGTGTGTGTCGGCCATAAACCTGTGCTTACATAAACCAGTTTTGGTACCCTAGAGAGCAAACCTTAGACACACGGCTACGATTTTAGAATTAACACAATGAATATGTAAATATTAACACAATGAATATGTAAATGACAT